GGCAGGTGGGGGTGGAGGTGGGTTGGAGTGCTCTGGGGGTTGGGGTGTTGGGGTGCCCTGGGGGTGGGGGACCAGGCAGGTGTGACCAGGGTTGTTTTGCTGAGACCTCTGGGGACCTGGCCGGGCGCAGCTGGTCTTGGTGCCCTGTGGTGGATGTTTTCTCTCTGTGGACTCCATGGGGGCAGCTGCCTGTTCAGAATCGGTCAGGAGCTGGGCTTGGCAGGGAACCCAAGGCCCCCAATGTGGACCACCAGAGCCTTGGCTGGGAATGTACTTGAAATGTGACGTGCGACAGTCTCGGAGAGGGACAGACCGTGGGTGGGGGAGAGGGAAGCTGAGGGGCCATGGCCCTGGGACGGTCGGCATGGCAGAGGGTGGGGCCCAGGAGGGGAGGGCTTTGGGTGGGGTGGGGGCATTTGAACTGGGCCTTTGAGCCAATAGAATAGAAGTTTCTAGAGGTGAGAGGTGCTAGAGAATGTGTCGGCTGCTCCATGTCCCGTCTTCTCTCTCCAGCTGGGTCTAGTCTGGGGACCATGTCTGCCACTTTCTCCAGCCCCTGGGGCCACAGGGAGCATTTTAAAATGATTTTGATTTATTTAAAGACAGTCGCAGTGGAAACCCCAGACTGGAGACTTGGTGTGTGTGAACACTTGTGTCTGCCTGGCTCTGAAGAGCCCCCTGCTGGCCTCCTTTGGACTCCGGAGACTTGGTCGTGGCTGGACAGAGCTGGCTAGAGCTCTGGCCGCTGACCCCAGGAAGCCAGGGCAGGAGGGATGCGTTTGGTGGCTCCTGGTTGGGCACTGGGGTGCAGGGATCAGAGCTGGGGAGCTCATGGGTGGGTCCGGCTTGAGGCCTCAGAAACCTGTGTGAGGCTGAGCGAAGCTTCTCAGTCCTCAGAGGGAGAAGGGAGCCGGGGAGGGGTGCAGACCCCAGCCTGGGGGTGTTGAGGAAGCTCTCTGGAGTGAGATGCTTCTGCAGGTGAATAGGAGTTCGCTCAGCTATCAAAGGGACAAAGGGGTGGGAGGAGAAGAAAAGGGTGGTCCAGACCTGTGCCAAGCTGGGATGGGTGACCCTAGAGGCCTGTGCAGGAACCCATTGGGTGGGGTGGCAGGAGGTGAGCTGGAGAACACAAGCTGTGCTGGGTTGCAAAGAGCCTGGGAAACTGGACCAGAGTTTGCACTGTATTCCCAGAGTAGCAGGGAGCTGTGGAAGGTGCTTGAGCAAGAGAGTGTTTAGGGTGGTAATTTTGGCCCCAGGGTATAGACTGGATAGGAGGAAGAGGCTGAGGCAGGGCCAGCAAAGTTTCTGGTTGTGTCCAGAAGAGAGAGCGCGGCTGACCCAGCAACACTGGGTGGGGAGTCTGGGTGGGGGGGAGTCTGTGGATTCCAGGAATGCTGAAGAGGGGAGGCGGGGGGTGGGCAAGCCAGTGGGGAGAGGAGGGCTCCCAGGTGGGGGTGCTCCAGTGGAACCCCTGCCCCGGGAAAGGCCGGTTGTCTCGCGGTACCCATGGGCGTGGGCGTGGGGCAGGCGTCCCAGGCAGGGCGCACCCGTCCAGAGGAAAGCAAGTGGTGTCTATGAACTGGACTCATTTGCCACTGACCTTTGCAGGCTCCTACAAGTAGATCCTGCACTTCGTCCCCTGTTGACCCAAGTCCCCTCTGGGTCTAGGGCTGCCTGTCACATTTCTGACAGGCCTGTGGTTTGTGTCACTGCCCTGCTCTGAAGTTGCCACTGAGTCTCATGCTGGTGAGGGGGACCCCACCTTCCTCCAGCCCACTCAGCGGCATTTAGTGCAGGATGAACGTCCAGGGAGTGCCCGGGAGCCCACTGGTCACACGGCGGTGCTCACGGGAACTAGCAGCCCGGCCCTCACCCCTACCCTGTGAAGGATGTGCGCCATCCCCATTTTACTGTAAGGAAACTGAGGCACGGAGCTCTCCGTCAGCCTGCCCTGGAGTTCACGGGGGC